GTTGGAAATATGGCCTATCAAGGCCTAAATTCCAGTAGTCTCTCATTCAGTGGGAGCGATTGAAATCTTGATGTCTTGAAAAATGGAGCCCAGATTCTTTTACTCGAGTACGCACGAGGCATCGAGAGTTCAAGTGTTGAGAAAAAAAATTTTCAAGGAGATGTGAGGGTCACCTTCTAATCAGGATTTTATAGGTTAGCCTCATGTTTAACTGCAATCGGCCAGGGCTTGCAGAATTTAAATGAGAAAAATAGAACCCGAGTACTTATTGAGTATTTGCCCTGTATAAAATGGTCAAGACTTATAGGACATAAGTCTGTATCCTGACACGAGACTATTGTATGGCATGTGCATTTTCATTTCATACTGGAAGCCACTCTTCTAAATGCATTATCCGAGTTTGGAAGAGTGAGTGCACATGTGCTTTGAGAGGACCCCAGTAATTAAGTTTGATCATATCTACACCTGTAATCCATTGAGAGCCGAATGATTGGAAGTTCTGACTCAGTGGCTTTGATATGGCCAATTATGTGTCCCTGCTTCAGATTGTGGAACATAGGTCTATTGAGTTGATCTGAGACTCGGAGAAACATCATTTAGGACTAACCCAATGGAGTACTCCGATACCTATAATTATTAATCTGAGATCTTACTATACCTATTTTTCGATTTTATAATGATGAAAAAAACCTAATAACTGTTCAAAAATACTTTAAATATTTATTATGAATTTTAGAGAAATTTTTTGGAATTTTATTTGCTAAAAAACTAAGGGTTTCCATATTGTTTGGCTCAAATTCCACTTTAGTCTTGACCTGATAGTACCCTGTGGCATCCGAGTGACAATAGGGCTGTCACATAGCACCCCACACCTCCCTCTAAGATCACCGCCCAACTGGGCACTGATCCCTAGGCGAGGTACTAGATTTGCATTTAGTTGCTTATTTTATAAGGGGTCGTGTCATGGTGTCTTATTATATATTGTTATATATTGTTATATAATGTTTTAAATTAAGGCCCCATTTTTATCACATGTCTTAATTAACTCACACATGTGTCATACATGACATGTGTTAAGTTTAATTAATTTATTATTTGATATTAAAGAGAAAGTACATTTTCAAATTTGAATTGAAAAATATCTTCACACACATATGTGAAGGGACATTATCTTTAAATTGATTGGTTTGAAATATTAAATTTACAAAGTGAATGGTTTTGATAAAAAAGAATATCTCCACATGTGTGAGCTTTACCAATTACTCATTTGCCCTTTAGCCTTTGTGGTTATCTACTCTAATACATTATTAAAAAAAAACCAAGGGTATTTTTTTAAGGCCATTTGGATACAATTGGAACAAAAACATAGGCCAAGGACAAAATAGTAAAGTGACATAACTTAAGGTTAGGGTGAGTGATAATAGTGTGTAATTTCATCCCTTGATCCTAGTGGTTGGATGTGGATGGGTGGCTAGGTACATTAGCCTCTCATGTGCCTTTGGATTAGTGCATCAAGGGTGTTGATTGAATCCAAAATAACACCCACGCTATAAAAACACATCAAGAAATCGCAAACCCTAACAATCTCAACTCTTGAACCATTTTTGAAAATTATTGCTCCCCTCCTTTTTCTAAGGTTTTATGAGATAAAATTGAAGAGAATGAGCTTTTAGAGTTCCATTAATGGTGATCTTGATGGTGGTCCTCGTTTCTTATGCTTAAGTCCATAGTGTGCATTTATCAAGGTAAACTCTATTGAATTTTCTTTTCTCATAAGATCATATCCTTCGCATCTATAGTTGCTGGAGTTTTGAATTTAGAAAATTGTCATTGATCTTAGAATCCCCATTTGATCATCTTTTTAGTCATGCTTATTCGTAATGTAGTCCTTCATGAGTTATAGCCTATATGAATGAGAATTCATGGTCATGCATATTATCCATTAATTACTTTGCTTCAAACCCATCAAATAATTTAGTTTCAGAATGTCACTTCTTTTTAAGAACTTTTTCATCACGTATTTACCTATGGGGGTTCATAATCTTTTCATACAAGACTGTTTTGGTGGTCCGATGGACCACCGTGTGTAGTTTGGTCATAACTCTCTTGTTCTTTATCCGATTCGATTCAAATCTTTTGCATTCTGTTTTAGATGATAATGCCAGTATGTTGAGATCTTGAGAATTGATTTTAAGGTGTGTAATTTCTTCCCATTTGGATTAGACACTCTTGTAAGATTGAACCACTTTTGTACAATTCGAAGGTACAAAATTAAGTCCTTATAAGGTTCGATTGCATGACCTCGGTACAAGAGGTTCGAAACATGGCTTTCCTCTTTTAATTTGATATCCTAATTCCTTGTTTAGTTGATTTTATTCTTTAGAATTTTGTTTAGATTAGTTGTATGATGTATTTAAGCTTTGGGACATAGTTTATGTAATTTGTGCTGTGAAAGTGTAATTCATAAATTAGTCTTGCTTTATATATAATTGCCCTATAAAGGGTTGGTATTTGAGTTTATTTATAATGGTTATGCATGGTTAGAAGTAGTTGTAATTATTATGTAAAATATTGTAACTTATTCACGTAACTAGGTTTTAAAGAAGTGGCTTATTGAAGGTGTCCATTTTGACTTATTTTTCAACTTGAAAATTTGCTCTAGTCTTTGTATCCACTTTCACCCTTTAGGTAGCTTGACAATATTCCAAGTATGGTTCTTATCATGTGTTTGAAGTTCGATTTTCATGGCTTTCCTCCACACATGTTGAGAAATAACATTTTGAAAATTGGTTGACTTATAATTATTGGAAATAAAACTCAAAAAAGTAAAATAGCCAAGAGAGATATTTGCGTAGGAAATATGATTTTGAATAGGGTAAGAAATTGAATATGTCCTTTGTTTATTTGTAAAATTTTACCCCTTTGTTGCACATATTAAATTTCTCAAAATTTTCACAGCTAAACTAGTGTTTTTTTTTTTTTTTTTTTTTTTCAACTATAGCAAGAAAGTCTTATTATCTCAATCAGGAGTATACTTTAATTCGCAAAACATCTACCTAGGAGAAACTTAATTTAACCCAAGGTTTGTTAAATGTTTCCTAATTCACTATATGATATGAACAATGTAAAAAAGAAAAAAAAAGACAATAGTTTTAAGTCCTCAGGGTCTACACTGACTATGGGAGTGGACTTTAGTTGGACCATCTTTAGGATGAGATTCCAATTTTTAATGTTAATTTTAGTGATTGAGATGGATAGAGTTTATCTGCAAACTCTAGGATTCGGAAAATCCCTAGATTAGTTTTAACTCCATGACTCTATAATCTTTTACCCCTGTTTAGAATAAAGTTGGATGTCTGGCAAATGATAAGAAGGGGCATCCAGCGTTAGTTCCCAAGGGCCAAAAAATTTACAAAGAAAAAGGAACAATCTTGTATGATATCACATTCTCCATTTGTTTATGGGGAAAAATTTTACTTTTTCTGGGGAAGTTAAGCTGTAAGATTAGATGCAGTCCAAAGCTTAACCTCTCTTTGTCTCTCTCTCTCACTCCTTCTGTTATTAAAAGTAAAACCACCTGGTTCCCTAAAGGGCTTGGCGTAATTTCTCTCTCTCTCTCTTTCTAACCAACACCCAACTCACAGGGCTGTGATGCCTCCCTCCTCTTGGATGCAACCCCAAGCCGCGAGCTCGTGGAGAAAGCCTCCCCCCCCCAACTCCTACTCCCTCCATGGCCTTGAGGTGCTCAACGATGCCAAGGCCCAACTCAAAGCTGCCTGCGCAGGCATTGTCTCCTGTGCTGACACAATTGCCCTTGCTGCCCATGACGCCTCTGTCCTTGCAGGCATCCCCCACTACTCTGTTCCTTGCGGCAGTCGTGACAACCGCTCATCTCGAGCAATTGATGTCCTAAACAACCTGCCTGCCCCCTTCTACGACCTCCCAACCCTAACTCGCATTTTCGAGTCCAGAAACCTCAACATAGAAGACCTCGTGGTCTTATCAGGTGCTCACTCTATCGGGAATGCTCATTGCTCTTCCTTTGGCTATGGGCTTCACGGGCATAGCCATGCATACTCTATTGACAAGAACTATGTTGATGAGCTCAAGCACATTTGGCCCACCGATTACTCTTCCAGGCTTTACATACCCGGTCGTGAAATTGATTAAGGATTCGACACATAAGATGGACGGCTCGTATAACAACTGCCTTAGGGAGTACCAGGCCTTATTGCCTTCGGACCACGCTTTGATGACTAGCTCTGAGACGAAGAAGATCATGAGGAAGATGGCTTTGCACCCTAATTGGTGGGCTAAAAATTTTGGTTTGGCAATGGAAAAAATGGGGACGATTGGGGTTCTTACTAGTGGGCCGAGGAAGGTTAGGAGCTCTAATAGGTACGTGAATGGGGGGGAACAGAGAGGGATAGAGTTTGGGTTTCCCCATTTACCTTTTCCTTTGATTCCGTGATTGATGAAGGAAAAAGCACTTTTTTTCTTTGCAACATGCAGTTGTGATCACTTTTACATGACAAAAAGGAAGTTGTACTACTACTGATTTCACATTTAACTATATAGATGCATGCCCCCTTTAAAGACCATAGTCTATATATGACATCGATAAAACAGGAAGCAATGAAATGTATGTTTTAAAGCAAGAAGCACCTCTGCAATGCCTCACCGGAGTTCCTCACTTTCCATGTTGGAGTGTTTCCTCCCCTTCCCTCCTAAATTCAGATAAAGCCTAATTGAGTACAAAACCACACATGCACAAGAAAACCACATTAAACCTTGTGGTATGCCAATGCCATTAAATGGACCAAGAATCCTAAAGAATCGTTGTTTGTATATACGATTTTAGTTAAACCATATCAGAGAGTAAAACCAAATCAGGGGACCAATGGGGTGGTTCCATCAAATCATGTGCAAAGTAAGTAATAGACAAAGGCAAAAAACAATTGGAACCATTAAAAGTGGAAGAGGAGTGACTATGGCAAGACCTTCGAATCGCCTATCATCTCATTCAAAACTCCCTCCATTTTGTGCACCATCGAATCGCCTATCATCTCATGCAAAACTCCCTCCACTTTGTGTAACATACCTAGCAACAAAAGATTATACTGACTTCCTAATTATTGAAGGAAAAATATACAAAAACAGCATTTACTTTTAGTACAAAGATGTCACAATAGTTTTTGTACAATGGATTTCAAATCGGGTAGTTATGAATGTGTCACTAATTGGACTCAAAGTTCAAAAACTTTTCTTGAAGATCTTCACACATCCCAGGCCATTGAAGGTGCCCTCTAATGGGTCTTGTAGAAAAAAGATAAACGATTTTATAGTATATAATCCCATTATTAAATTATTAAATATTAAAACATAAATCAAAGTAGGGATCTCTATTTGGGCCTATATCTGTATTTCCTCCCATATAAATGGCCCGAACTCTGGATATGAAGGCTTAATATATATATTGAGCTTGCACAGCAAAAAGATATGTGCATATTGTAGAAATATGAGTGCAAACATCTAATGAAGTTTTGAATTTCACTGAACCAGAGTACGGTACCTTGAAAGGAGGGATCCAAAATACAGCTCTGCAAAAATGAAGAACTATCAAATGAATCGGATTTGCCATAATATTTCAAGGGCGCTCATGGATACCCGTGAGGCATAAGTGCACAAAATTTTGAACTATTGCAAAAGCATCTCAAAAATTCTAGTGCTCATGGCTTGGGCATTTCATGTCAAAGTAAGTAGCCGAAAATATATATATATATATATATAATGCAAATATCAACACTACTCTTTTTTAATGAAAAAATACCCGTACTCATTTTATAGTAATGGAATAAAAAAAGACATCTAAATAATTAATAACGTTGAACGGAAGAGGTAGAGCGACAACAATAAGAGAAGGAATAGAAAAATGGCCCAAATTTTTTGTATTCAAAAGAGAAAGAGATTATCAAATTTTTTTGCATTCGACAGAGAGAATTTGGGCATATACCACAACTTTTTTTTTGCATTCGACAGAGAGAATTTGGGCATATACCACAACTTGGGATCTAATGTCATTCTTCTCATATGCCTCCGGTGGCCTTACTGTATTTCCTGGATATCATAGTTGGAGAAAGGTTATCTCTCATGCTTGGATTGGAAAAAGGTTATCACTCTTAAGGTTTAAGGTCTCTCTTTAATTATAAATATAAAGAAAACGATTATGGAAGTAGTCTCATGAGAAAAAAAATATATTATGTTTATAAGATACACGAGGATCTCTAGTAGAAATATTAATTCAACTTTATAAACACTTTTTATGGCATCTATCTTTAGGGCAAGCTTTCTATATTTCCCTTACAACGTAAAACTTATATACTTCCCCTTATCCAACCCTCCATTTTGAATGGAGGGTTAAGATTGCCCCAATCACAATATCACATTTCTATACTATTTTATTTTAAATTTTTTTCTATAAATTATTTTGACACTAAATTTTGGACATCCAATCTTCTATTAAACTCGCACTAGCGAAAAATATAAAAAAAATATTTTCAATAAAATAAAATGATCAAAATACTATTGAAAGTTTCAAGGGGTATTTTGATCATTATATTTTATCAAAAAATTACTTTTAATAATTTTATAGGTACGCCCCAATGAGAATATGGCAATATTCATACAATTTGTATAAAACAAAAACTAAAAAAAAAATTACTTTGAGACGTCGGATCTAAGATTAAACGATATGTGACTATCTTGATTAAAATTGGATGACTCGATGGGAGGGGAAGTATATCTTCTATGTCGTAAGGGAAATATATAGAAAGCATGGGATTTTTAGCGTTTAATCTTCCAAAGAATGAGATTAGAAGGCATGGCATGTACCTTGGTCCGTAAACTGGGAAGTGCCGTTGAGCAGAGATGTAAAACTAGGAGGCATGCCCACAAAGACGGGGCCCAATTCTTCAGGTGGGAGATAAGGGTACTCGTATGCCCTCTCTCGCCGTTGCATCTCCGGCCCGTAACCGTCATCGCTGCCGTTTGAAAAGCTCAATTCTGCCTGTGCCCTGCAAGTTCACTCAAAATAAAAGGGCAGTTAATCACTCACTTCCTACTCATATAACGTCACTCACTTTCTACTCTTATAACGTCACTACGTGCTGCATTCAGAGCAATTACTGTTAGAAGAGTTTAGTGACAATTACTGCTAGGGTCATGTACTTACAGAATAATTTCTCTATTAAGTTTGATACTTTTACTGAGATGATCAACACAGCCGATTTTTTTATCAATTTTACTCTCAGTTCTATGTTTCAAACATTCAATATATTATTCTTTTCTGTTGTTTTTTTTTTGAACTATTGTAGGACACTCTAATGTCCAAAACATCAAAATACCCCATCCTTTTTTATATTTTAGCAATCCGAGCTTTCCAACATAAGACTGCTTCTAAACTCTTTTTTTTTACGGTATTTGTGGTCCTTTTGATAAAAAACGCTAGGCCAAAAATGTAGTGGGGCGATGTTTTAGAAATCGGATCACCCTCGAAATATCGGAAAAAACAAATGTTGTTCAATACTTGAAACAACAAACTTTGGGCAGAATAAGAAAAAATTTATATAAAGAAAATGGGCAAAGTATAGGGCTAAGAATGGATCGGATCCGGTTTGGATCCATCGGGATCCAGATTTCGATCCAAAACGTATACATGGGATCTGGATCCAGATCCCAAAAGTTACATGGGATCCAGATCTCGGCATCCAAAAAAATTATTTGATTATTTTATATCTATAAATAATATAAAAATAATATAATAAATAACGTATATATAAAATAGCATATAATAAAGTAATAACTAGGTTGGATCCAGATCAGATCCACTGTACCCGAGTCCTATCCAAATTACTATTCGGATATAAATTTTGAACAGTCACATCTAAACCTTGTATCCATACCCGGATCTAGATAGAATCCAAAATTCAGGTTTCATATCCAAATCGCGTAAATTTTCAGCCATAACAAAGTAGGACTTTGTTATAAAATTACCGAACTTATGAACCAAAGGGTAAATTAGATAATTTTACCTGGACCCTCACTGTGCCACATTTTAGGTGTGGGTTTTATTGAGATATGATTACGATCACCAAAACCATGAGAACTTCGAAGGATAAGAAAGATCCTCAATGAACTATGAAAACGAAGGCTAAGAAAGGTATCGCGCACCCAAAACAAACGAGCAAACCCATACGCCGCTAAAGAGATATGGGATCAGAGAGTAGATGTAGTCATTTTGCCACCAATACCTAAATATCTTTACATCCAAATTTAAAGAGGTCTCAGATGAAACCCCACCAAATTAATGCTCTAAATTGTTAATATTGATAATGGGCAGAAATAGTCGATAATTGGTAGAGATTATGTTTCAAAGCTAGATCCTAATCTTGAAAGATCAACCCTCTCTGATAACTGCCGGCAGAGGCCGCTTGAAATCACACAAAAACCGTGAAAGAAAAGGAAATTAAATTTAAATTAAAGTAAATGGACCCTCTGGGCTTGACGGCATGCCTTGACTCATCGGACCAAGCCTGACCCCCTTTGCAGGATTCAGCCAGTGACGGTCTGATTCAATTTTGACCTATTTTTTGGCACCTAATTCAGGTTTTTGTAGGTTTTTATGACTTATATAATTTTGTCTACTGGTCTGCATTGGTCTAGACATGCTATGGATTGCAGGTTGTGTTATATTAGGATAGTATAATTCTTAAAGTTCAGGAATATAGGTTTTTGGAAATTTAAGGGTTTTAGAAATAAAAAAAATTTAATTAATTTCAAATTAAATGTCTGCAGTATATAAATGCAAGAGACATTAATTTCCATTCCCAACTAGCCCGGACCAAAATTAACAAGTTTTGTACAAAGGAGAAAGAAACAAGTGTTTTTGAAACGAAAGCATCACTAGAAAATTGCAATTGATCGATTGTTTCAAATAATGCCAGAAACGACGGGAGCAGTTAATGGGGTTGGCAAGTCACCTTGCCACTGGTGGTTCATTGGATGTGGCACATTCAGAAATGCATGAATTATCGTATATGTAATCACTTTGACCAATGCCTTTGTAAAATGCACCACTGCTGCTTAAGACGTCCTGTAGGGAGAGATGATGGTCATGCTGCAGAATAAAATTACTGCGCTACATGAATAAAAGAGATCAATGTACTGCAAGAGAGAACAAGATTATGATTAGGGAGAGTGAGAGTGAGAAAGAAAATGATTCATTCTTGGGAAACATAAATGTATCAATCCATTCAACCAAAATAAAGGAACATCCACATGATGTATTAGATGTTACCTTCACAGAGGAAATGAACTCTTCTGCCTGAGAAGAGGATGGGAATCTCATGGCAAATTTCTGCACCTGCAGGTTTATAAACCACATCAATTCAATGTATCATACTTCAATTCCAATCCAAAGTAGAGGCTGAAACAAATGAGGAATGCTTGCCTCCTTGGAGGAGTCTTGGTAGCTGACGATTACAACCCTGCTTCCCCTGAGACCGCACACTGAGCTGCACGATATCTGCGGCCACATGAAACTAAGGTTGGAAACGCAGTGCTCCTCCTGCAACACCAAACACCGAGTCATAAAATTTTAAACAGAAATAAGCTCCTTTTTTTACAAAATGGCCTGCAAGTGTAATAATAGCCAGGACGAAGAGATCTGGACCATCAGCAGAAACTAGGACAAATCTCCCAAAACTTTTCAGCCGACTCCAAATTTCGGTTGTTACTCCAAATTGCAGCAAAAATTTCGGAAAAAATTCAGTTTCCTCCCAATACGAAAGCGTAATCGTGTATGTAACAGTAGAAATCACTGTGATGGCTGATATAGCCCCTGATCTAGACAAAAGTAGCTGAAATTCAATTTAAATTCCAGCCAAAACCAAACGAATTCTGATTTTTTTTTTCTGAAATTCAGATTTCCAATTAATTATGGCAGAGTTTTCAGTTCAAATTCATGATCTGGACATTTGAACCCCTGAAAGGTTGTTGAACCGACAATTTAAATCCATTCTCCCTAAAAACCGAAGCAAAACTTCACGGAATTTCGATTGTGACTCCATTCTTCAGCAACTTCGGTTCTCAAACTAAAAGTGAGTATCAGCTAAAATTCAGATGAACTTCATACCATTTAAGAAAGCATTAAAATCCTTTTCCTGATATTTTTAAGAAAGAATTAGAATTCCTTTCCTGATGAATCCAAGCATCCCCTTCATCCCCAATCCCAGACCAAAACATCAAACAACAATAACAGATAACACAAATCCATAACCTTAAATCTTAACGAAACACTGAGAAACATAGAGAGCTAAGTGAAGTTTGCTTACATGAACATAGCCTTGAACCAATAGTAATAACACTGCTCCCGATCCTCCCTTTTCTGTAATCAGTTGCAGAGAAGCGGCTGATGAAGATGCCATCCATGTCCCTTTGGAAGATAGAGTACGCTTGTGCAGCGGTTTGAGGAAATCGTGGCATGAATCAAGCGAAGCTGACTGTAAATGACGAGGAAACGCGAAGAATTGAGCGAATTCTGGTTGCCATTGCTTCGTTAGAGAGATTGCAGGACATGATGCCAATGCTAGAGTGAGAACAGGCGCCTTCATTTTCAGGTCGCTCACTTCCTCTCTCTCTAAGAAGAAGAAGGCCGCCATTTATATGCCGTTTCCGCTTGATTTCGCCTAAAAATTGGCGATTTGATTCCCGCCTCAGAACGAAGGAATACCAATTGGCCACGCGGGATTTGAAACTCCAGTGCTTTTGGTATTGAACAATTGCGTAATTATTTAGGGATCCTCTAGAGACCATTTATTTTTAAAAAAATTTATATAAGGTCGAGGCTTTAAATAATTGACATACCTCAAAAATTCACTAAAAAAAGTTGTTTCAATACCTGAAAATCCTCAAATTGATTATCTCAACCTCAAGATCTATGGACATAAAAAAGAAGATTTCAAGTCTTGAAAATAATACATCTTGTGATATATTTTATTACCGTCAATTTCAAGATTTTCAAGTATTCATAGATCTTCTCGATCTACACTACTTTTTAAGATTTAATTTTTTTTATTACAAATAAAAATGAATTTTCAAGTCATCATAAAGATGTCTAGTATTGATACAACATCTTTCGACACTATTTAAAGTGGGTCTTACTTTGATGGTTTAGAACCTTGGCCCTATACAAACCACATCCTTTATCTTTTGTACTTGAAGGTCACAATCATTTCTACTCATTAGATATTAAATTGGATGGCTTGGGATGAATCACGAAAGTCCAAATTTTTTTTTTTTGGAAATTTGTTTATTTCAATGACACTCTTGCAATCACCTATTTTGAAATTTAAGGGACAAGAATGATTGTAATTTCCATGTATAAAAGATAAATCATCTCTTTGTAGAGAAACCCATTAATTTTATATAAAATATATATACATAAAGAAATTATTTACTTTTCATACAAGGAGGTCACAATTATTTTTGTCTGTCAAATTTCAAATCAAATGGTTGTAAGAGTGTCGTTAACTAGACTCAAAGTTTAAATAAATTTCTCAAACTTCATGAAACATCTCAAGCCATCAAATTTGACATCTAATGATTACGCGTAATTGTAACCTCCTTGCTACAAAGATTATGAGGAGGCTGTAAAAAACTATCAATGGGATGTGTCAAAGTAGTAACCCCCATGTAATTGTACACAATCTCAACAATTATTGAAAAACGTTTATATAAGGTTGACACCTTAAAATGTAGAAACATGAACCTCTAAAGTCCTTCGAAAAAGGTTTTTGAAAAGACATTAAATTAATCATCTTGATATCTAGATGTATAAATATAGAGAAAAAAAGAGATTTCAAGTCCTAAAAATAGTAAATCTTGCAACACATTATTTGGACTATCTATTTTTAAGATTTGTATGCATTTATAGATTTGTTTGACTTTGTTTACACTCGAATTTGCACCGATCTTTGGGCGAGATCAACTCGAATCTCATACATACATAACGCGTTAATTTTAGAAATCAGTAGAGAGAGGAGTGGGGTCGCTCAAATTATAAGCTCCAAAGCATCATGAATCTTTACAGATCCGGTTCTCTTTTGAGATTACTGGTGTTGCCAGTTTCAGAATCTGTATATTAAACCTTTAAAAACTTTTAAAATTTTACTAAATCTAAGAATTAAAGAGATATTCAGAAAAATAAAGCAAAACGAAAAAATAAAGAAAATAAATAAATAAATAAGAGTAAATAATAGAGGAAAAGAAGTTGCATTCTTGAGAAACTTGGAGTTGGGACCCGTATTAAAACCACAGGTTGATTAACACTTTTCTATGCATTCTTAAAGCATGGCCCGAAGATTTTTTTATCTAGGAGAACTTGTTATTTGAATTTGATCTTAATTTTAGAGAGATTTGGGGAGGATTTAGGCTTAAAGCCTCTAACTTAAGGCTTTCTAGGGATTTCCCTATTTTCTACAAGTTTTCCCTAATTTTCTAGGGGTTTTAGGATTTTTCATATTTTTCTAGATATTTTGGATGAATTTTCTAATTTTATAGGTTTTCTATGATTTTTTCTAATTTTTTAGGATTTTTTAAAAATTTTCTAAAGGAGCTCCTTTTTATCTGAAATATTCTGGGAATTTCCTAATAATCTTTAAATTTTTCTAAGGATTTTTCTAGGGAACTTTTTTAGTGTTTTCGGTGTGATTTTCTAGGATTTTAGAGGGGTTTTAGAGGTTTTTGTTAAAGTTAGGGTTGAAATAATTTGATCTAATCTCTTACTTCCAGTTGGATTAGGTTTAAGGTATTTTCTAGATTTTTTTCATAATATTTCAGATCAAAACCGATCTAAAAAAAAATGTTTTCAAAAGGACTTGCAGCCTAGGCTTCGAGGTATTTCTATAAATTTTCTTTGTAAAATTATGAGGCACATTTCATTGATTTTTGGACCATTGGAAAGCTCTCGGGGTCGACTATAGCTTGGGATTGGATTTGGATGGTTTTGAGACTATTAAACTAGATTAAGGTGGACTAGGGTTCAGTAGGGGTTGTGTGGTTATTAGGACTCGAGATCACGATTTCTAGAAATTCCCTTTATCAGAATTTCATGGGGTCTCTACATACTCGAACTATTTTTGGAGTTTAAAATTTTATAATTAGAGGTAAAAATATATTCTTGCATCATCCTAAAAAAAATTTACACAAAAATTGTTGGATATAATTTTAGATAATTATAATGAAAAAGGTTTCCTCAATTGTAGACTAAGAGACGTAAGGCTTCATAGCCATATGTGTCAACATTTCACACTTGGCTATGACGACTAAGCATAATAAGTTACATGCATACTCTTACTTTTGAGTATGACCTTTAAGAAAAAATCCTGTCATGAGGTTTTTCTCACACTTTCGCATATGTATCTCTCACAACAAATGTCCATCATGAGGATTTTCACTCTAATGCGAATTTGTCACTCATGAAAACTGACTGACTTAAACATTTTTAAGTTCCATTAAGCTATTATGCTTGGACAATAGTTCAACACTTAGACCCTTTGTTAATGGATCAACGATCATATCTGATGAGGGCAAGTAACTAATAGTTACAACACATTTCTCAACTACATCCTGAATGTAGTGATATTAAACATTTATATGTCTTCCTTTGGAACTATTTGCTCAACTTTGAATTAATTTAATTGCGGCATGATTATCACTAAATATTTGGATCGGTCCATCGATTATTTGCAGCTTTAAATCATCTATGAAGCATTTTATCCAGACGTCAAAAGTACAAGTGGTGCTACATGCAATGTATTCTGCTTCTTGTGTGTACCTAGCTACAAACCATTGTTTCTTGCTAGACCAAGAAACAACTGCTCTTCAAAGGGGAAAATATGTCATGAGGTGGACTTACTATCATCGTTATCCCCAGCAAAATCTGCATCTAAATATCTTATAACTTCATGTTTATCTACTTGAAAACATAATTTTAGATGCTTTGCTCCCTTAATATACCTTAGCATTTTTTTTATTGCTTTCTAATGAGCTATGCCTGGATTACTTTGATATCTATTAACAAGTCCTACGATATAACTCAAATCTGGTCTTGTACATCTTACTTCATATACCAAGCTACCAATAACTTGTGCACAGGGAACATTACTTTTTTCTTGTTCTTCTATTGGACAATACTTCCCAAACAATTGTACTTCATTTTCAACATAAGTAAACAATAGTTTACAATTTTCCATTTGAAATCTTTTAAGGACAGAGTCAAGATATCCCTCTTGCTCAGGCACAACATATTTGATTTTCTATCTCTAGTTATTTTTATGCCGATGACTTGAGATGTTTCTCCTATATGTTTCATCTCAAATCGAAAAGAAAACCATGACTTAGTTTTATCAATCATTTCTAAGTCATTTCCAGCTATCAGGATATCATCTACATATAATGAGAGTATTGTGAATTTACGCCCACTCTTCAAGGGATACACACAATATTCCAATCTATTTACTTTATATCCCACACATGTCCCCTTCTCTGAATTGTCAGGGAACAACTTTTCTTTAGTATGCCCTCTCGATTCTACACTGGTAAGCAACGATATTTTGTGTTGCTCATAGTCGTCTTTTATCCAAAGTTATGACGGTAGCGATTCATGCTTTGAGCTTTTGTTCCTCATCGGAATTTTTATTAATAAGCACTCGGAGAGACGATATCTCAACTTCAATGGGTAGCACTACTTCCATACCATATACCAATGAGTATGGGGTCAATCCAGTAGGAGTCTTCTCGGTTGTCCGGTAGACCCATAGCACGTTGTTTAGCTTATCGAGTCAATCTCTTCCACTTTCTATTATTCTATCTATAACACTAAGAAGTTCTTTGTTTGTGGCCTCTGCTTTTCCATTTCCTTGAGAGTAGTAAGGTGCGGAGAATTTTTGCATTATTTCGAACTTTTTGCATACCTTAGTGACCTTTTCATTTTTTATGTTGGATCCATTGTCAATAATGATTGACTCAGGAACACCGAATCTGAATATAATGTTGTTCTTTATGAAACGGGCAACATGTTGTCCCTCAATTTTGATAAATGATGCGGCCTCTACCCATTTAGTGAAGTACTCTGTTGCCGTTAATATAAAACGGTGGCTGTTTGAGGCTTTTGATGAGATCAATCTAATGCTATCAAAACCCCACATGGCAAAGGGCCTTACGGGTGGTGTTGAGTTGTGTGGTACGGACGGTGCATGGATGAGGTCTCCATAAAGTTGACCTTTGGGACACCTCTTAATGAAATTCCAACAATCTTTAGCATGGTGGTTCAGTAATAGCCTTGGCACCTAATTTTCTGAGCAAAGGCGGCTGCCCTAGAATGACCTCCTTCATTATGTAACTCTGTCAGTACTTGGTCGATTTCTAACTTATCCAAACACCACAGAATGATGCCATCGAAGGACTTCTTGAGTAGGAGAGCACCTCTCACTACGAATCCCGTAGAAAACTTCTGAAGGGCTTCTTTATCCTTTTTGGTGGCTCCTTCAGGGTATAAACTATCTTTCAGCAGGGACAGAACATCGTGGAACCATGGTTTTACCTTAACTAGCGCATCTGAAGCCACAAGAAACACTTCCCCATTGTTCCCATTTTCTTGCTCTATTTATTTTTCGATCCTTAGTGGGGAAGGGTCATGTTTGTTCTTGATGTAGAATGACAATATGGTGATGTCTGAAGGAATATCAACCATTGAAGAAAGG